TAGGAAAAGATATCATAATTTCAAAGCCACTTTAATTATTACCTTTAATGTGATATGATATCAGCCCTCCAACTACAATTTTTGAACTATTTATGCTTAATTACAGGTGTGAAAATTCTTGTATGAACAGTTTGTTAAGCTGATTTAATGATTACTAGATTTAATGCTGACCTCTGTTGTAATATAATGTTTTAACTCTTTACAAATTTCAGGTACTCGTATTTAAGGTGCAAGGCATTTAAGTAAGTAAGGCTAAGATAGTATGTGTAACAGTTCAAAAGCAAGGTAATAGGAACTACTAATATTAAATTGAGTAATTATTTCTATTTCGGTCCTCCGTGTGATAAAAAAATCGTGCGAAAGAGTTATAAATAAAAAATAAAACGAATAATAATAATAAATAAATAAAAAAAAATAATGCATTGTAAATCGCAGAAAGCCTGCTACGTGGTTTTACTTTTGCAGTGATAAAACAGTAATCTCACATCTGCAGATTTTTATGTTTTGTTGGTTATTTAGCTGTCACTATGCGTCAGTATGTTTTCAGGAGCATTAAAATCTCAAGGAAATTAACTTATTCATATTCGTATGCATTCTTTTGATCTACATTAGTATTTGTATGTACAGAGACACACATACATATATATACAGAGACAATATACGAGTATATTCAGTTTGAGTAATACAGGTCGAAAATTACCTAAAAATTTAAGGAAATAAAACCATTGTGATATATGCAATACGAAAAGTGTTCTATTAAGCTTGCTGGTTAAGCTGAAGGACACTAATTTTATTAACCGCCTAATAAGAAGGTTGTCTTTGAGGTGGGGAATTAAAAACTGAAACTATCTTGTATTTGTTTGCAGTTGAAGAAAATAGCCAGTTTATTCAACCCCAATCTCAGTTTATTCAAGCCATTTTTTCCTGGCTTTTCACTCGTATCGTTGTAGAATTATTCGGTAGGCTTTCAATACGAATCCACTAATAGGGAATAGTCGAATTTCAAATAAGTAGAATGTCAAAAAAGACTATATATAGTATAACTATATATAGTTCACTTCGAACATATTCAATGAAATCTGACTAATAAAATAATTAAACTTCTTTTTAGGAAAATTTTAACTAACACATTAGTTAAAATTACTACCTCTATTCTGTACTTCTTTATTAATTAAACTGATTAAATTCTTATATTCTTATTTTTTCCATTTCTTGCCTTTCGTGTTGAGTTCTGTTTTGCACGGCTTTTGAAAATAAAACTTTATTTAAAAAACAGTGTTTTTATTGTGGTTACATTGCAGGTTTTTCTTAATTTGCATAACAAATTTATTTCAAGTGTTCCTGTTCTAAATTTCTCAACTTCCCCTCACATTCTCTCGCCAGGATGTTAGAGAAGTTAGGTGAAGTGCTATTTATACGTGTGATACTCTCAGTTTATTCAGAGCGTGTTTCGCTAGTTTAGCGCACGTTTCGTTGTTATTTCACGGTCACGCTAGTAAGCCTCTAGGCCTTATCAGTTTAGTATACGCCGGTTAGATTTCTGTGAGTCCCTCTCTTAGGCGTAATTTTGAAGTGCGTTCTTGCACTCGTTTAATTTTCAGATTTGATTTATATTATAGTCTACTTTAGTTACCGCAGCAAGTGACGGTGTTTTTGTAACGCACGAAGTCCGTGCTTTTGTGTAATTAGTTTGATTCATAAGGTTATTTTGCACCCTTCTTCTGTGCTGTTATTTGATTCACGCCTGTGCGAGAATCGCCAGGTTCATTGTAGGATCTAAGTTATGTATGTGGACAAGTAGAGATAATCTTACAGACAGATAGATCTTGCAGATAAAAACAGACTTCCAACCAGGATTTTTCAGTATATTGTATGTACCTTGTTTCCATATAAGTTTTAAATCTTTACAGAATTTTAGATATCTGTATTTAAGGTGCAAGGCACATTTAAGTGATGACAAGCTGACGAATAGTATATGAAACAATTTAAACGTAAGGTATTAGGAAACTACATATTATTACCTTGGGTAATTATTTCTATTCAGTCCTTCACTGGGTATAAGTCGTGCTAAAAATAGGCAAAAAAATAAAATAATGATAAACATAAATAATAAAAAGAAAAGAATAATAAACTAAATAAATGAAAAAAAATGCTTCGTTAAATCGCAGTAAACCTGCATGTTTTTTTTACTTTGCAATGATGAAACAGTAATCCACTCTGTTTTTTATGCTCTGATCATGCGGTCACTTACGTCAAATGTTTTCAGCAGCACTACAATCTGAAGTAACTTATTTTTATTCTTATACATCGTTTTGATCTACATTATAATTTGTAAGCCCACACACACACATACAGAGACAGAGACACAGACAATATATATTTAGGACTACAGAGGAAATATTTCCTTCACATTAAATAAGTCCATTACATGGCATAATTATAATTATTTCAGATATATTGATATTGAGATGATATGATATTGGAATATACTGTTTTGCATACAGGATTTCGCGTACTAATATTTCGTTTTCTTTTAAATGTGTTTTTTAAATTTTCTACAGATATTTAGGTTAATCTGTATTTAACGTATAAGTCCCATGTATGCAATAACAGTGCTGAGGAATATATGAAGCAATTCATAAGCAAGAAAATAAAAAGTTGCATTATTATTACCTTGGGGGACTATTTCCTTTCTGGGTTCACCGAACATAGAGCCTAAAGAAAAGGATGAAATAAGTTAACTAAATAAAATGATACTGTATTACATTGTCACATGACAGAAAAATGTCAACAATAATCTAACATACCGAGGTTTTTACATATTTATGTTTATTTAGCTGTCGATCTTCATTAGTATGTTTCCAACAACACTAAAATCTCAAGTAATTTAACTTAGTCACTTTCTTATACTTCATTTTCATCTAAATTAGAATCTGTACACTGCGGGGGGAAAAGAGGACAGTTCGATATCTCCCGTTCTACTCGGCGGATTGACGAAATTGAAATTGCGTGTTACATGTCTCGAAAGCGCGACTCAGATATATATTAGATTTATATATAGCCTTGTTCTAATATAGGTATTGTGACACAAAAAAGGACTATTTTTAAAGTATAATTCGAAGATACTATTTTTTTTACCTTACACGTACATATATTGTGTAAGAAAAACAAAGAATGTGTAAAAGGTAAATTATAATTTAAATTAGCAGCGTAAATTAATTTCCTAATGTATTCTAAAAATAGTAATCACGATTTGCACTGGGTCATTTCGACTAATCCATGTCATATGACTCTTGCATAACTCTATAATGTAAATGGAATTAAAATCCAAACAGCCGAATAATAATTTTTCAGCAGTACTAATTATCCCATCAAAATGGGGTGAAACCGAACAAAAAGCATTTGAAGAGTTGAAAAAAAGGTTGATTTCACCGCCTGTGTTATCTCAACCTGACGGAAATAAACCGTTCATCATTAGGACAGATGCCAGTAATTATGCTTTAGGAGCAGTCCTTATCCAAGGAGAAGGCCCAGAGGAACGTGAGATCGAGTATGCAAGTCGATTGCTAAGCTCAGGAGAAAGAAATTATTCAAACTACCGAGAGAGAAGCTCTTGCAGTAGTTTGGGCTCTTGAGAAGTTCCGCGGTTATATAGAAAACCAAGAAATAATAATTGCATCTGACCATCCAACCTCTTAAATGGCTAAATGAGTATTAAATCACCATCTGGTCGTTTGGCTCGATGGGCCCTTCAAATCCAGTCATATCATCCAAAAATTGTCTACACTCCAGGCAAAATCCAATGTTATAGCAGATCTTTCTTTCTAGACCATCTTATGTAAATAATGACTTTATTTGTAATTTAAATGCTGTTTCTATAGATTTACCATCCTGGAATTCGTGAGGAACAAATGAAAGATGAAGATGTAAGGAAGATTATATCGTTTTGAGAGTGGCAAAAAAGATGAAAATTGTGTAAATTGGACTAGTAGAGGATATCTCATGAATCAAGGAGTTTTGTATCGTTACTCTTCCAACACAGAGTCTGAAGAGGCTCAGTTAGTTGTATCTTGTCAAGAGCTAGAACGAGTCCTACAACAGTATCACGATTCCCCCACTGCAGGACATTGTGGAGCTGAAGGCAAGTACCATAAAATTGCCTCCAGGTATTACTTTCTTTCCTAGTATGAGAAAGTATATCCTCAGAATATGTGAAAAATTGCGCTGAGTGCAATCGGTATAAACCAAATAACCAGAAACCTGCTGGATTACTTCGATAAAACCTGTATGCACAAGGCTTGAAACACTTGCTATAGACCTTTTTGGCCCACTTCTAGAAACCTGAACTGGGAAAAAATGGGATTTTTCCTTATTGAAGACACCAGTACGAAATGGATAGAGCTCTTCGACTTGGAAAGAAGCCATTTCAACAACTTGTGCAATAATTCTTAATTGAAGGAAGTGTTTTTACGTTATGGTTTTACCCAGAAGGTTGATTAGTGATAATAGCACACAATTTGTTAGTGCGGTAATGCAGCAAACCCGTAACTTCCTTGGTATTAAACAAAAACTTATTCCTGTTTATTACCCTCCAGCTAATCCCTCCGAACGAAAGAACAGAGATTTAAAACCCAAACTAGCTATACTAGTCGGTGATGCTCACGATACTTGGGAAGAAAAACTGCCCATGATTCGTTTTGTCATGAATACAGCAACATGTGACACTACAGGTCATACTGCTACTTATTTGCAGTTCGGAAGAGAACTTAGGACGACGGATGACGTTAATCACGATTTAAGAACACTTGCTGAAAACGACAACTTTGTTGCTGAAATTACGCCGTATCTGAAAGAATTCGTCCGTTTAACACCTCAAATCAGGGAGCGTGTCGAACAAAAACAAGACAAAAGAAAGGAATACTTTGATAAAAGACGTAGACAAACTTACTATCAGCCTGGTGACAAAGTTTGGATAACTTGACTGTGACTCCCATAAGGAAAAGAGGCAGAGCTCGCAAAAATTGATCTATCGAACGCGGACTCTTTGCGGGACGTCGTCAGAGCCCGAAGGGGAGCCTGTAACGAACGCTAGCAAACAGCCTCATGTACTGCAGCGCCACTTTATCGGACGCTATTCAAAAAACATAAGCCCCAACTAGTTAGTTTGAGTTTCGGCAGAGAACTATAAACATGAACTTTTTATTTCCATTTTGAGTAACATTTCTTTGTGTGACTTCTTGTTAGTTTTGTCATGCAACTTTCTTTACGTAGTGTTTCTGTTTAATTAAATTCCTTTTGTTAAATGTTAAAGTTTGTCTGGTTTAAATATTACCAGTTTTATATAACAATTTTACAGCTAGCCGTGGTCACAACGCTACAGATATCTAATAAGTTTTCACTGAATAAATTTTTGTTCGCAGCCTAGTTTACGACAAGGTTCAAACTGTGTATTTTCATTTTTGTATATCTGCCAAATATTGCTACTCGTGTTCATCTTGAAGGGCGTGAATATCACGTGACTACAAACCTGCACATTTCCTGATTTATCTTACGTTCCCTACGGAAATATCTGTAACGAGACCAAGTTTATAGATTCAATGGCATGTTCTACTATTACTATTAAGATACGTTATTGAATTCTTACAGCATTTTTCCAAGAAATTATGTATTTTTGCAGATCGTCGCCTTGGAACCTCTTAACCAACACGGTGACCACGTGACTACTGGTCACGCCCCTTATCCTGTTCTGCGGATCGACTCTAAAGCACTAATTACCTGGAGCGCTCCTAGAAGCAATATAAAGAGAAAGACAGCGGGAACAAAGCACGCATCCCGAAGGTGAATTCTGCTAAACATCTGGGTATCACCTTCAAAACAAATTTCACCTGGTCTGACCATATGTATAGAGTGTGGGGCAAAGCTTATGGCATTATATTCAGGCTTTTTCCACAACTAAAATGTGAACATCTTTCTCTGAATTTTGAAAAGAGACTGTATGCTATCAGTGCTATTATAAACAGCGTTAAAAGAAGGAAATCGGAGCTATTCATACTTAATAAAAGAGTGGAAAATCCTGTCTTTAAAATTTATTTTTTGAAAACTGGATTTCATATACCGCCATCCTTTTTATAAATAAATTTTTAGTACACTTCGCATTTAAAGTATACGATCTATCTAAGTAAATATAGCGCAAAAGAAGATATAAAACAATTTACTCTCCAGATAATAAAAACTACATAAAATTACCTTCGCCTGTTACTTCCTTTTTCATTTCTTCACCGGGTTTGAAACCTAAAAAAAGGGGAGGGGAATTAATAAAAATAAAACAAAAAATAGTAGAATGCCACATCACAGAAAAAACAGAATATTTCGGATTAATCTCGCATATTCAGGTTTTTTTTTAATATTCTCGTAGTTATTTTATTATCGATTTGCATCAGTATGTTTCCAACAGAAATAAAATCTCAAGCATTTTAACTTATTAAAAAATCTCAAGTAGTTGAACTTATTAATATATTTATGCAAACATATATATATATTAATTATTAATATATTTATTAATATATTATTAATATATTTATTAATCTAAATGAGAATTTGTATTTACGCTCTCCCGCACACAGATATATATATATATGTGTGTAAAATATTAAAAAAGAAATAGGATGGCTTTGCTCTATGCGAGCCAGTAACTTTAATTAACTTTCTGCAATTTAGGATCTTTCCTCTAGACCAGTACTTTCCAGAACATTTAAGCTTATTACGTAACCGCTTCTATAAATAGAGAACTCGCGCCCTTTTGCTTCAGAAATTGGTGAAGCAATCTCTTCAAAAAAAGTGATTTACAGTGGAGTAGCTCAAGGCAGTGTTTTAGGACCGAAGCTTTTTACAATATTCATAAATGATATGCCTCTACCTTTTCATTCTAATATACTCAAATATGCCGACGACACAGTCATCGTCACCAGTTCACGAAGTCCAAATAATGCTTTAGAGAAACTTCAGCTCCAAGTCAACATTATTAACAAATTTTGTCAAGACTGGAAAATCAAACTAAATACTGATAAATGCTGCGTAGTTCTCTTTCGCAGATACAGAAAAAATATCCCAGTGAATATAATATCCGACTCAATAACCAAGATATTCCTTTTGCAACTCCGATAAATATTTAGGTGTCTATATGACAAAACCCTAAATTTTAAAGATCATATTCAATATGTTACAGATAAGGCTAACGCTGCTTTCATTGCTCTCTACTCATTAATTGGAAGAAACTCCAAGTTAAACCTCCGTACCAAGAAAATATCTACATCTCACTTATTCGACCAATAATCCTCTATGCGTTCCAGCCTGGGCTACTGCCCGAAAAATAGACAGACAAAAACTAAATGTACTTCAAACAAAATCTTACGTAGCATAGTGAACGCACCCTGGTTCGTGCGAAATTCTCAAATTCACAAGACCTGGATATCAATCCAATTCACACCAAATCCTAATTTCTGCACACAACTTCTTTGAGATATGAGAAATTCTCCCTATGAAGCTATTAAATCGTTACAGACTATGACCCTACTATTGAGAACGTAGTGAAAAGACCTCGAACGATCCACCACAATTCTAAGTGGTGGTAGTGTATATAATGTATAAAAATTTTTTTTTTTAAAATTACTATTCCTTTGCAGTTACTATTCAAGAAAGACGAACTTTGCAAAATTAGGACTTTATTTTTCTTCGATGAATTCTTCGTTTTACTACTTATTTAACCAAGATTTTTACTTTTTATTTTACTATTTCGTATCGTGTGTTTTAAAATCAAAGTTCGTGGTAACACCAAGTGCTTACTCTCACTCATTAGCCCTAGTGAGCTACATGACCTCATTTTCGCCTTTTACAGTTTCCTAATCATTTAATGATTATATCGCAAGTTTAGAAGATTTTTTCAAGTGTTTTCAAAAGACATAAGACTCTTAAATTCACAAATAATGTTGTTGCTTTTACTATGTTCGAACTTTATTTATTGCCAAAAACTACAAAAACTTCATTTTTCGAACTCTGACTCCTCGACCAATCTAAATGCCGGACGCTGATCACGTGTTCCTGCTCTTCTTGACTCACACAGAAGCTTAGACTTTCATTTCGCTTCTCGCCACCATTTGCGTATATAATCACCCATGCTATGCCATGATATGCAATTTAGCAAAACTTATTTTATGAGTTCTCTCATTTATTGTTCTCGCCTTTGGGCGCGGTGTATTTTAAATACACCTCTTAAATTTTTAACGTTATGGCCTATGGTAAAATGATAATATACTGGTAAGAGCTCCTAGTAGCTAAAGCCAGCAGTAAAGATATGATCCAAATCCTTTGCTTCAGAAGTTCTTTTCTTCCTCTGCTGCTAAAGTCTGTGCGGCGAAGCCCGCGCCAAACCTAATCGGCGCCACCGTGCAAATGTCTAGCGAGCGCCTTTATGCAGTGACGATATTAAAGGGACATTGCTTATGGTTAACATTTAAAATGAAGCATTATTAGCATAGTAATATGAATAACCAAAAAAAATTTTTTTAATTACAATCTTTTTAATTCAGAAAAGGGACAATTAGAGTATAATTACTCGAAATATGTTTTTTTTATTTATTAACATTTGTTTATTAACAGCCTTCCAACTAATTTTTTAGAGCTATTTATACTTAAGAAAAGAGAGAAAAACCTTATCTTTGACATTGATTGTTATGCATACTGGATTTCATGAGGGTAACGTTTTTTAATAATCAGTTTTAAATCTTTACAGGTATTAGATTACTCTATAGACACATTTAGATTACTCTGCATGTAAGGTGCAAGACACATTTAAGTAATCGCAAGGCAGAAGAAGATATGAATCAAATTATTCACAAGATAATGGAAATCACATACCATTACTTTGGGTAATTATTTCCTTTTCTGGTTCTTCATGGGATTGACATCCTTCCAAAAAATGAGTAAAAATGTTAACTAAATAAAATAAAAAATATATTGTTACATTACAGGAAAGCCTGCGTATGTGGGGTAATTGTTGCAGTGATGACATTAAGCTCATATCTGCAGAGGTTTTTGTTCTAGTATGCTTTCAGCAGCACTAAAATCCCAAGCAATTTAACTTATTCATCCTTTTGATTAGAATTTATATATACACACAGATATACACCAATGAGCCATTACATTATGATGACCCTCAATCTATAACAATGGGCTCGCCCAGGAGCAAAAGCACTGCTCGTGCACGGCTGATGTTGCAGAATATAAAGGAGTTACGAATTCTTATTCCAAATATATGTACATAGTTTCCTCTGTTAATATGCGTTCTTTATATTTTTTAAGTGCATTATTGCTCATTTATTTGTATTTTATCATATTTGTACCTTTCGTACTGCACCGACAGTGGATGTCACGCTATGTGATTCCGAAATTTGTGAATGTGTAACTTCGCTGAACTCTGTGCGTTAAGTATCTGTAAATATGTTTATAATTTCTCCAATTTTACAGTATCATATTGATTATCTTCTGCTGCATTGTGTTGCATTTTGTAGTGCATCCAGCTTATGTATTTTCATTTTGTATATCTGCCGAATATTGCTCCTCATTTCATTTTGAAGGGCGTGAATATCACGTGAATACAAACCTGCACATTTCCTGATTTATCTTACGTTCCCTACGGAAATATCTGTAATGAGACCAAGTTTATAGATTCGATGGCATGTTCTACTATTACTATTAAGATACTTTATTGAATTCTTACAGCATTTTTGCCAAGAAATAATGTATTTTTGCAGACCGTCGCCTTGGAACCTCGTAACCAACATAGTGACCACGTGACTACTGGTCACGCCTCTTCTCTCTCTTAACCTGTTCTGCGGATCGACTCTAAAGCACTAAATACCTGAAGAGGTCCTAGAAGCAATATAAAGAAAGGCAGCCGGAACAAAACATGCATTCCGAAGGTGAATTCTGCTAACTATCTGGGTATCACCTTCAACACAAATTTCACCTGGTCTGACCATATGTACAGAGTGTGTGGCAATGCTTATGGCATTATATTCAGGCTCTTTCCACTACTAAAAAGTGAACATCTTTCTCTGAATTTGGAAAAGAGACTGTATGCTCAGTATTGTATGCTATCAGTGCTATTATAATCAGCCCTAAAAGAAGGAAATAGTAGCTTTTATTCTTAACAAAAAGGGAGGGGGGAACCTCTGTTTGAAATTTATTGCTGTCTAAACTCGATTTCATGTACACCCATCTTTTTTTTTTTTTTTCGTTAAAATGTTTTCAAATTTTACAGAGTTTTAGGACATCTGGTACTTAAAATGTAAGACACATGTGAGTAAATACAGGGCAGAAGAAGACGATAACGAACAAATTCGCAAGATAGTAAATGATGCATGTTATTTATTACCTGGGGATATTATTTCCTCTCTGGGCTTTTTACGAATTGATAGGCCTGAAAAAAAGAGGGGAGAAATTAGCTAAAAAAAAAAGAATACATTGTTATATCACAGAAGAACCTGAATATTTAGGATTGATCCTGAATGAAGCAACAGTAATTTACATAAGCAGGTTTCTACATTCTGGTAGACATGTAGGGTTTTCCATATTTTGCATAACATATTCATTTTAAGTTTTCCTGTTCTAAACTTATCAACTTCCCCTCACATTCCCTCGCCAGGGTGTAAATTTAAGTGAAGTTAAGTTAAGTGAAGTGCTATTTAAATGTGTGATTATCTCAGTTTATTCAGAGCGTGTTTCGCAAGCCAAGCGCACGTTACGTTGCTATTTCGCGGTCACGCTAGTAAGCCTCTTGGCTTTATCAATTTAGTATCACGCCGGTTAGATTTCTGTGAGTTCACCTCTTAGGCGTAAATTGAAGGGCGTTCTTGCACTCTATATTTTTCAGATTTGATTTGTATTATAGTCTACGTTTAGTTACCACCGCAAGTGAACGCACGAAGTCCGTGCCTATCTTTTAAATTAATTTAATTTAATAAAGGGTTATTTTGCGCCATTTTGCTGCGCTGGTATTTAATTCTAGCCTGTGCGAGAATTCGCCAGGTTCATTGTAGGATTGCAACACCATGAAAGAAAGCAAATACAAAAAAAATATTGTTACAACAACTAATGTTAGTAGACTTATAAATTAAATTGTTTTATTCCCCGTGCAGTGCAGCGCGTGACGAATATTAAAGGAAAGCTAAGCTGGAAAACTAAAAATACAAGAGCATGTTTAACATTTAATAAATAAATATAACTTTTTGATTTCGTGAAAATGCTAGAAAATTCTCCCTCATTTAAAATCTTATAAAAGGAGGAAAACGTATCAGTTCAAGTGATTTTAGTTAGCTCGTTGTTGTTTTAAGAGTTTGTTTTAAAAAAACTGGTCTTGTTAACTGTAGCGAATTCGCGGATTAGCTTTCTTTAGCTGTTTTGAATTAAGTTCTCTTGAACGTTTGAGTAGTTAAAAAGATAACTACTGTGAGATATTGTAATATTGCATGAATATCTGAGAAAATTTAAGCATTTTTTGTTGTGATAATAATAAATTTTGGTAATTTTTCATCGGACTTGTGCATTCATTTCGTAACGAGCCCGTACGCACGCAACAATATTTATTGCACGTAAACACTATGGTATAAAGACGCATGATTAAATTTGTAAGCATTTTGGGGGTTCACAGAGATGCGAAATAAGTAAAACGTACATATATTAGGTTACTGTAGTAGTTAGGAAACACTAAACTCCTATCTTCAGGTTTTTTTTATTCTGACGGTTATTTACCTCAGTATGTTATCAGCAGCACTCAAGTAATTTATCTAATTCATATTCTTATGCATCCTTTTGATCTATAGTAGAATTCTTATATACATACATACACACACACACACACATATACATACATATGCTGTCTATATTAAGTTTCAGTACTACATGGGAAAAAATTACCCAAGATTCGAAAATAAAACCAGCGTACATAAATGAAAGAAGAAAAGTTTTTGTAAAGTTTATTGCTTAAGGTGTAATACACTAAAGCTAAATCCTGTCTTATAGGAGGATGCCGATTAAATCTCTTAACATTGGTAGTTCGTTCCGGGTTCGAATCACGGTGAATGCGCTGGCTGCATGGACGTTTTAGTGGTTTTGCTCAAGTGTAACGTCCATACAATACAGTTTCCCTTAGAAAGTCCTCTACAGTGGCATTCTTTCCCTCAACCCATTGAATGATTTCCTTCAGTTACATAATCCAAACCACATCAAAGTCCATTACAAATTTTAAAAGAATTATTGAAAAGCTATAAGGTATTTCTCTCGCCTTTGTTGTGTAGTAGTCACCACCCTCGACGGGAATTCCAGAGTCCGCGGTTCGATTCTCGGCAAAGGCGTTACAAATTTTTTATTTATCCCCCTTCCAAAAAATACCTAATGTCTCTACAAAGATATAATGTAAAAAATAAATTTCAAAGAGGTTAAAATAGTTTTCTACAAGGGAAGAATGCATTTAGTTGAATTTTTCATTCATAGTTGAACATTTCATTCATTTTCTTTCAACACTGCATAACATCCGCAACGTTTACACATAATTAATTTATTCAATTACACATTTCCTTCAATTGCGAAAAGCACATTCCATGGCATAGAAGCCATTGCTCAGTGCATTCACCAGCTGAAACTACTTATGCAAAACGAAAAGTGTTCTATTAAGTTCACTAGTTAAGCTAAGGACACTAAATATACACATACACATTATTTATTAAGTTTCAGTACTACAGGAGAAAATTGCCTATAAAAAGATGCGGAAATTAAACCAATGTGCATAAATGAGACAAGAAAAGCTTTATGTAACGTTTATTGGTTAAGCTGAATCACACTAGGGCTAAATCCTTCGTAATAAGAGAATGACGATTAAATTGCTTAATATTGGTAGTTCATTCCGGGTTCGAATCACTATGAACCCGCTGGCTGCATGGACGTTTTAGTGGTTTTTTGCTAAAGTGTAACGTCCCTACGATACAGTTTCCCTTGGAAAGTCCTCTACGATGGCATCCCTTCTGTTAACCAATCGAATGTTTTGTTGTAGTTAAATAAACCAAACTACACCAAACTTCAAAAACTTTTTTTAAAAATTATTGGCAAGGTATAATGCAAAAAATAAATTTAAAAGAGGTTAAAATATTTTTCTGCAAGGAAGGAATGCATGCAGTTGAATTTATTATTCATAGAGAAAAACACTATAACCTTAGCAAAGTTTACGCATAATTAATTAATTTAATTACACATTTCCTTCAATTGCGGGAAGCCCATTACATGGCACAGAAGCCATTGCTCAGAACATCCACCAGTAGAAACTACTTTTGAGTTTCTCAAGTTGATTTAATATTTATCTTTACAGGGATATTAAAAACAGTGCTAAAAAAAAGGAAATCTGAATTATTTATACTGAATAAAAAGGGCGATATCCTCTTTTTGAAGTTTTTTTGTTATTTAAACTGGAATTCCATGTGCCCCCTTTTTCTGTTCTTTTCGTAATTTTTTAAGATCTTTACAGAGTTTTAGGTAACTTCGTAGCTAAAGTCTAAGATACATGTAAGTAAACACAGGTGAGAAGAAGATTAAAAAATTATTAGTTTGCAAGATAATAAATGTTGCATATTAATGATTACTTTCTTTAGGAAATATTTTTTTTTTTCTGAGCTGTTTACGCAATGGCAAGTCTGAAAAAAAGAGGGGTAAATTAACTAAAAAATGAAAAAATAATTCATTCTCATATCACAGAAAAGCATGAATATATCGAAATACTCATACAATGGTGCAACACTAATCTCACATGTGCACGTTACACATTACGCGTGTTTGGTTGCCGCAAATGTAAAAGAATAAACGGTTAGAATATTTTTCTGCAAAGGAACAACGCACGCAGTGGAATTATTATTCATGGAGAAGAATTATTAGCAAAAATTATATAAAATTATTTAATTTAATTTTAAATTTCCTTCACATGCAAGACGTCCATTACTTGGCATAACATCCACCACCAGAAATTACTTATCAGTTTCGAAATTTGCTTTAATATTTAGCTTTAGAAGTGTATTATAAACATCCATAAAAAAAGAAAATCTGGGCTATTTATGCTTAACAAAAGGGGCTAAATCCTCTTTTCGAAATTTATTGTTGTTCAAATTAGATTTCATGTACCTCCTTTTTTTTTCTTTCATATTTTTTTAAATCTTTACAGAATATTCGGTCTCTTGGTATTTAAAGTGTAAGATACCTGTAAGTAACTAGAGGACAGAAGAAAATTAAAAATCAATTACTTCAAAAGATAATAAATGCTGCATATTATTTACCTTGGGGACTTACTTCCCAGACTGCTTTAAGAAATACAACGCTGTCATAAAACTTTTATTTTATCATGTTTACATTACCTGGTATGAAATGAAGTAATTAATTTAGTTGCAGTTTGCATAACATGCATAGCTACGTATCAAAATACCCAAGGTGATCCATAAAATAATGAACATTTCAACAAAATTATTAACTGGGTATACTGCAAAAGAATAAACGTCAAGGAATGAAGGAGAATATTTGTTTCAATTGAACATAGAGCGTAGTTGAGCGTTCCATTAATAGAGAATACAGTAGCAGATTCACAAAGATTATAAAAAGAGTAACACTTAAAACATTTTCTGGACATGCAAGAAGCCAATTACATAGTATTAACACTAATTTTATTCACTAGGAAAAGATATTCATAATTTTTCAAAGCCACTTTAATTATTACCTTTAATGTGATATGATGATCAGCCCTCCAACTACAATTTTTGAACTATTTATGCTTAATTACAGGTGTGAAAATTCTTTGTATGAAACAGTTTGTTAAGCTGATTTAATGTATTACTAGATTTAATGCATGTACCTCTGTTTTAATATAATGTTTTAAATCTTTACAGAATTTCAGGATACTCTGTATTTAAGGTGCAAGGAACATTTAAGTAATGATAAGGCTGAAGAATAGTATGTGAAACAATTCAAAAGCAAGGTAATAGGAACTGCATAATATTACATTGAGTAATTATTTTTATTTCTTGTCCTCCGTGGGATAAAATAATCGTGCTAAAATAGTTATAAAATAAAAATGATAAATATATAATAATAATAAACTAAATGAAATGAAAAAATAATGCATTGTTAAATCGCAGAAAAGCCGGCATACGTGGTTTTACTTTTGCAGTGATAAAACAGTAATCTCACGTCTGCAGATTTTTATGTTTTGATGGTTTTTTTTGCAGTCAGTTTGCGTCACTATGTTTTCAGCAGCATTAAAATTTTAAGTAAATTAACTTATTCATATTCGTATGCATCCTTTTGATCTACATTAGAATTTCTATGTACAGAGACACGCATACATATATATACAGAGACAATATACGAGTATATTCAGTTTGAGTAATACAGGTCGAAAATTACCTAAACATTTAAGGAAATAAATCCAGTGTGATATATGCAATACGAAAAGTGTTCTATTAAGCTCGCTGATTAAGCTGAAGGACACTCAGTTTATTAACCGCCTAATAAGAAGGGTGCCTTTCAGGTGGAGTTTTTAAAAACTTGCATTTCTTTGCAATTGAAGAAAATAGCCATTAATTCAACCCATTTTTCCTGGCTTTTCACTCGTGTCTTAGTAGAATTATTCAGTAGGCTTTAAATACACATCCACTAATACAGAGTAGTTAAATGTCAAATAAGTAAAATGTCAAAAAAAGGACTATATATAGTTCACTTCGAACATATTCAATGAAATCTGACTAATAAAATAATTAAACTTCTTTTTAGGAAAATTTTAGTTAACACATTAGTTAAAATTACTACCTTTATTTAGTACATCTTTGTTAATTATACTGATTAAATACTTATAGTGTTATTTTTTCCATTTCTTGCCTTTCGTTTCGAGTTCTGCTTTGCACGGCTTTTGAAAATAAAACCATATTAAAAAAACGGAGTTTTTATTGTGTTTACATTGTAGGGTTTTTTCTTAATTTGCATAACAAATTTATTTCAAGTTTTCCTGTTCTAAACTTCTCAACTTCCCCTCACATTCTCTGAAAGGATGTAAAGAAATGTGCTTAAATACATTACGTTAAAATGTGCTATTAAACGTTAAAATTAACGTTAAAATGTGCTATTTAAACGTGTGATACTCTCAGTTTATTCAGAGCGTATTTCGCTAGCTTAGCGCACATTTCGTCGTTATTTCGCGGTCACGCTGGTAAGATTCTAGGCCTTATCTGTTTAGTATGACGCCGGTTAGATTTCTGTGAGTCCCGGTCTTAGGCGTAATTTTGAAGTGCGTTCTTGCACTCGTTTATTTTTCAGATTTGATTTATATTATAGTCTACGTTTACTTACAGCAGCAAGTGAACGGTGTTTTTGTAACGCACGAAGTCCGTGCTTTGTGCTAAATTAGTTTGATCCAATAAAGGGTTATTTTGCACCCTTCTTCTGTGCTGTTATTTTGATTCACGCCTGTGCGAGAATTCGCCAGGTTCATTGTAGGATCTAAGTTAGTGTATGTGGACAAGTAGAGATAGATCTTACAGACAGATAGATCTTACAGATAAAACAGACTTCCAACCAGGATTTTTCCAGGTATTCATGCTTAACTCCAAGGGTGAAATCCTCTCTCTGAAACTTTTTGTTCAGCACTTTGAATTTAATGTATGTACCTTTGTTTCCATATAAAGTTTTAAATCTTTACAGAATTTTAGGATACTCTGTATTTAAGGTGCAAGGCACATTTAAGTAATGACAAGGCTGAAGAATAGTATATGAAACAATTCAAACGTAAGGGTAATCGGAACTACATATTTTTACCTTGGGTAATTATTTCTATTTCAGGTCCTTCACAGGATACAAAGTCGTGCTAAAAATTAGTAAAGAAAATAAAATAATGATAAACTAAATAAAATGAAAAATAATGCTTCGTTAAATCGCAGAAACACCTGCATATGTTTGTTTACTTTTGCAATGATAAAAGAGTAATCTCACATCCGCATGTTTTTATGCTCTGATGGTTATTTAGCGGTCAGCTTGCGTCAGTATGTTTTCAGCAGCACTAAAATCTGAAGTAACTTATTTTTATTCTTATTCATCGTTTTTGATCTACATTAGAATTTGTAGGCCCACACACACATACAGAGACAGAGACACAGACAATATATATTTAGGACTACAGAGGAAATATTTCCTTCACATTAAATAAATCCATTACATGGCATAATTATAATTATTTAAGATATATTGATATTGAGATGATATGATATTGAAATATACTGTTTTGCATACAGGATTTCACGTACTAATATTTCGTTTTTTTTAAATGTGTTTTTTAAATTTTCTACAGATAAGATTTAGGTTAGATTTAGGCAGATTTAGGTTAATCTGTATTTAACGTATAAGTCTGTTATGTATGCAATAACAGCGCTGAGGAATATATGAAGCAATTCATAAGCAAGAAAATAAAAAGTTGCATCATTATTACCTTGCGGGACTATTTCCTTTCTGGGTTCACCGAACTTAGAGCCTAAAGGAAAGGATGGAATATGTTAACTAAATAAAATGATACTGTATTACATTGTCACATGACAGAAAAATGTCAACAAAAATCTCATCATGTATGCAATAACAGTGCTGAGGAATATATGAAGCAATTCATAAGCAAGAAAATAAAAAGCTGCATCATTATTACCTTGGGGGACTATTTCCTTTCTGGGTTCACCGAACTTAGAGCCTAAAGAAAAGGATGGAATAAGTTAACTAAATAAAATGATACTGTATTACATTGTCACATGACAGAAAAATGTCAACAATAATCCCACATACCCAGGTTTTTACATATTTATGTTTATTTAGCTGTCGATCTTCATTAGTATGTTTCCAACAACACTAAAATCTCAAGTAATTTAATTCAGTCACTTTCTTATACTTCATTTTCATCTAAATTAGAATCTGTACACTGCGGGAAAAAAAAAAAAAGAAGAGGACAGTATTCTATATCTCCCGTTCTACTCGGCGGGTTGACGTAATTCAAATTGCGACTTACATGTCTCGAAAGCGCGACTCAGGATATATATTAGATTTATATATAGCCTTGTTCTAATATAGGTATTGTGACACAAAATAGGACTTTTTTTTAAAGTGTAATTCGAAGATACATATTTTTTACCTTAAACATTTCTAATGACAGCTGAGCAATAAGAATTTTAATCTGGTTTTTAGAAATAACTTAAATTACTGTATATATTCCTTAGAGCTTTGTTAACCACACCTTTATATATTCTGATATCGTCATGTTTAACATTTTTTTGCCTTTCATTTTAATTCTGTTTATTTTGCTTTCAGAAAAAACATGTTATATTACAGTACTTTTTATGGACACTTTATCCTCTCAGAAGTGAAGTATTTAATTTACTTGCAATGTGCATAGATTACATAGCTACATAACAAATTACGCAGGTGGTTCAGAACTCCATTACAAATTTTAAAAAAATATTAACAAGAGGAATGCAAAGGAATACTTGTTAAAGGTATTAAATTATTTTTTACAATGAGAGAATGACTTTTTCATTGATAGAGAAGAGCATTACATAACACACACAGGCATTAGAATCATAGTAGCATTAAAACATTTCCTTTACATACAAGAAGCCCACTACATGGCATAGCAGTAACTGTTCATGGTATCCAACAGCAAAAGATACTTATCAATTTCCAAAATTGTTTTAATTATCTTAACAGTGGTATTATAAAAAGCCTTTAAACTAGGAAATTTGAGTTTTTTATCCTTAACAGAAGGGGGGAGACTCTCTTTTTGAAATTTATTTTTGTGTAAACTGGATTTCATGTATCTATCTGTCATGTTATATAATGTTTTGAATCTTTAAAGAATTTTAGGGCACTCTGTATATTTATTGTGGAAGACACATAATTACAGTGTAGAAGAATATATAAAGCAATTCATACGTAAAATAACAGAAGCAGCATAATATTACCTTGAGTTATTTTTTCCTTTCTGGATTTTTTGCAGAATGAAGAACCTGCAAAAACACGGGGAAACATTAACTAAACAAACTGTATATAAAATACATTGTCATTTCACACACACACACACACAAAAAAAAAAAAAAAAAAAAGAAAAGAAAAAGAAAAAAAAAAAAAAAGAAACCCCTGCATATTTGGGATCACTGTTGCAGTGATATAATTACAAGAAGTATTTTAAACTCAGATAATGAAACAACAAAATTTTAAAAAAATGTAGTAAAAATATTTTCTAATGCAAATCGAAAACTGATAATGCAAAAACAGAGATTAATATTTTTCAAAATTTTATTTTGAAAGAAACATTTATTGTGAAGAAGTTACACATATGACATACACTTTTCATTTCAACTTATAAAATGTCTACAGTTTTGCCGAATGCAAGCACACATAGGTTACATAACACATTTTTCAATATTCACTCAAGCCTCAATATATGGAAATACTCATATAATGGTGCGACACTAATCTCACATGTGCACGTTACACATTACGCGTTTTTTGTTGCCCGCAAATGTAAAAGATGAAACGGTTAGAATATTTTTCTGCAAGGGAACAATGCACGCAGTGGAATTATTATTCATGGAGAAGAATTATTAGCAAAAATTATATAAAATTATTTAATTTAATTTTAAATTTCCTTCACATGCAAGACATCCATTACTTGGCATAACATCCACCACCAGAAATTACTTACCAGTTTCAAAATGTGCTTTAATATTTAGCTTTAGATGTGTATTATAAACATGCATCAAAAAAGAAAATCTGGGCTATTTATGCTTAACAAATATGGCTAAATCCACTTTTCGAAATTTTTTGTTGTTCAAACTTGATTTCATGTACCTCCTTTTTTTTCTTTCATAATTTTTTATAATCTTTACAGAGTATTCGGTCTCTTGGTATTTAAAGTATAGGATACTTGTAACTACAGGACAAAAGAAAATTAGAAAACAATTACTTCAAAAGATAATAAATGCTGCATATTATTACCTTGGGGACTTATTTCCCACAATGCTTTAAGAAATATAACGCTGTCATAAAACTTTTATTTTATCCTGTTTACATTACCTGGTATGAAATGAAGTAATTAATTTAGTTGCAGTTTGCATAACATGCATAGGTACGTATCAAAATGCCCAAGGTGATCCATAAATCTATGAAAATTTCAACAAAATTATTAACTGGGTATACTGCAAAAGAATAAACGTCAAGGAGTGAAGGAGGATATTTGTTTCAATTGAACATAGAGCGTACTTGAGCGTTCCATTAATAGAGAATACAGTAGCAGATTCACAAAGATTATAAAAAGAGTAACACTTAAAACATTTTCTGGACATGCAAGAAGCCAATTACATAGTATTAACACTAATTTTATTCACTAGGAAAAGATATTCATAACATTTCAAAGCCACTTTAATTATTACCTTTAATGTGATATGATGAACAGCACTCCAACTACAATTTTTGAGCTATTTATGCTTAATTAAAAGAGTGAAAATTCTTTGTATGAAACAGTTTGTTAAGCACACTAGATTTAATGTATGTACCTCTGTTTAATATAATGTTTTAAATCTTTACAGAATTTCAGGATACTCTGTATTTAAGGTGCAAGGCACATTTAAGTAATGATAAGGCTAAGAATAGTATGTGAAACAGTTCAAAAGCAAGGTAATAGGAACTACATAATATTAAATTGAGTAATTATTTCTATTTCGGGTCCTCCGTGTGATAAAAAAATCGTGCTAAAATAGTTATAAAATAAAAATGATAAATATAATAATAATAAACTAAATAAAATGAAAAAAATAATGCATTGTTAAATCGCAGAAAAGCCTGCATACGTAGTTTTACATTTGCAGTGATAAAACAGTAATCTCACGTCTGCAGATTTTCATGTTTTGATGGTTATTTAGCTGTCTGTTTGCGTCAGCATGTTTTCAGCAGCATTAAAATCTCAACTAAATTAACTTATTCATATTCGTATGCATCCTTTGGATCTACATTAGGATTTGTATGTACAGAGACACACATACGTATATATACAGAGGAAATATATATTCGGTTTGAGTAATACTGGTCGAAAATTACCTTAAACCTTAAGGAAATAAAACCATTGTGATATATGCAATACGAAAAGTGTTCTATTAAGCTTGCTGGTTAAGCTGAAGGACACTAATTTTATTAACCGCCTAATAAGAAAGGTGAATTTGAGGTGGAGATTTAAAAAACGAACTATCTTGTATTTCTTTGCAATTGAAAAAAATAGCCATTAATTCAACCCATTTTTCCTGGCTTTTCACTAGTGTCTTAGTAGAATTATTCAGTAGGCTTTCAATACAGATACACTAATAGAGAATAGTCAAATGTCAAATAAGTAGAATGTCAAAAAAGGACTATATATATAGTTCACTTCGAACATATTCAATGAAAGCTGACTAATAAAATAATTAAACTTCTTTTTAGGAAAATTTTAATTAACACATTAGTTAAAGTTACTACCTTTATTCTGTACATCTTTGTTAATTATACTGATTAAATTCTTATATTCTTATTTTTTCCATTTCTTGGCTTTCGTCTTGAGTTCTGTTTTGCACGGCTTTTGAAAATAAAACCCTATTAAAAGAACAGTGTTTTTATTGTGGTTACATTGTAGGGTGTTTCTTAATTTGCATAACAAATTTATTTCAAGTTTTCCTGTTCTAAACTTCTCAACTTCCCATCACATTCTCTTGAAAGGATGTAAAGATAAGTGAAGTGCTATTTAAACGTGTGATACTCTCAGTTTATTCAGAGCGTATTTCGCTAGCTTAGCGCACGTTTCGTCGTTATTTCGCGGTCACGCTGGTAAGATTCTAGGCCTTATCAGTTTAGTATGACGCCGGTTAGATTTCTGTGAGTCCCTGTCTTAGGCGTAATTTTGAAGGGCGTTCTTGCACTCGTTTATTTTTCAGATTTGATTTATATTATAGTCTACGTTTAGTTACCGCAGCAAGTGAACGGTGTTTTTGTAACGCACGAAGTCCGTGCTTTGTGTTAAATTAGTTTGATTCAATAAAGGGTTAATTTGCACCCTTCTTCTGTGCTGATATTTTGATTCATGCCTGAACGAGAATTCGCCAGGTTTATTGCATAATCTAAGTTAGTGTATGTGGCAAGTAGAGATAGATCTTACAGACAGATAGATCTTACAGATAAAACAGACTTCCAACCAGGATTTTTCAGGTATATAGTATGTACCTTTGTTTCCATATAAAGTTTTAAATCTTTACAGAATTTTAGGATACTCTGTATTTAAGGTGCAAGGCACATTTAAGTGATGACAAGGCTGACGAATAGTATATGAAACAATTTAAACGTAAGGGTATTAGGAACTACATATTATTACCTTGGGTAATTATTTCTATTTCAGGTCCTTCACTGGATATAAAGTCGTGCTAAAAATTAGGGAAAAAATAAAATAATGATAAACAGAAATAATTATAAGTAAAATAATAATAAACTAAATAAAATTAAAAATAATACTTCGTTAAATCGCAGAAAAACCTGCATATGTTTGTTTACTTTTGAAAAAAAGCCTTTAAACTAGGAAATATGAGTTTTTTATCCTTAACAGAAGGGGGGGAGACTCAGTCGTTGAAATTTATTTTTGTGCAAACTGGATTTCATGTACCTATTTGTTATCTTATATATTGCTTTGAATCTTTAAAGAATTTTAGGTCACTTTGTATATTTATTGTGGAAGGCACATAATTACAAGTTAGAATATTATATAAAGCAATTCATACGTAAATTAACAGAAGCAACATAATATTACCTTGAGTTATTTTTTTCTTTTTGGATTTTTTGCGGAATGAAGAACCTGCAAAAACACGGGGAAACATTAACTAAACAAACTGTATATAAAATACATTGTCATTTCACACACACACACACACACACACACACACATACACACACAAAAAAAAAAAAAAAAAAAAAAAAAAAAAGAAAAAGAAAAAGAAAAAAAAAAAAAAAAGAAACCCCTGCATATTTGGGACCACTGTTGCAGTGATATAATTACAAGCAGTATTTTAAATTCAGGAAATGAAACAACGAAATTTTTTTTAAAATGTAGTAAAAGCATTTTCTAATACAAATCGAAAACTGATAATGCAAAAACAGAGAATAATGTTTTTCAAAATTTTATTTTGAAAGAAACATTTATTGTGAAGAAGTTACACACATGACAGACACTTTTCATTTCAACTTATAAAATGTCTACAGTTTTGCCGCATATTTATATGCAAGCACACATAGGTTACATAACACATTTTTCAATATACACATACTATTAAAAGTGACCCTTTGGAAGGGCCGTATAAATTATACGATGCACATAGAAATCTACAACATATGGGACTACTGTTGCAGTCATACAACTACACATACTCATTTTAAATTCATATACATTTTTTAAAAAAATTTTAAAACGCTATCAGAACATTTACTATGTAAATCAAAGAATGAGAATCCTAAAACAATAAATTAATACTTTTTAAAAATTATATTTTGAAAGAAGCATTTATTGTGAAGAAATTACAAATGTGATGGAAACTTTTCATTTAAACTTATAAAGCTTCTATAATTTTGTCGCCTGCAAGTATGCAGATTACATAATACAGTTTTCAATATACACGCACTATTTAAAGTGATGCAACCCTCAGAAAGATACGCATAAATTGTATGATACACATAAGAACGGAATACATTAGCCATCAGAATTCATTTTATTTACCTCAGCTTGGAATATAATATGTACCTAAATATGGCACCAAATATGTTTTAATTAATAAATTATACAGACCCCATGCATGTTGAGAGACCTGTCATCTGAAGTGGCACATTGCAAATAAGACTGTGCAAATAAATGCTCATGATACAGCCAACCATTCTTCAACCTGTTTTTATAGGATGAAAACAACTCTTGGTGGTTGTGGATGGCAAAAGATCTGTCTTCCAATATATTCACATACATGCTCGTTACAGACAAACCCGGTTATCCAGGCTACTGAGGAAGGCATTTACGATCAGTAGAGCAGGTAGAAGTACTCAACTGCCATGTAACCATGCATTTTTTGGCGGACAGTTACTCTTTGGATGAAAACCTTGAAAGGGATGATAATGACAAGCCTAATCACCCCATCTGAGCATTGTCAACATGTTAGACTGCATACTATACTGGAGAAGTTCTGACAATCTGATAACACACGCCACCACATAACACCAGGTGAAAGCTTTATGTTATATTGAGCTAGATCTGTGTCTTTGCGTTCTTCTCCCACATGTTCACTGCATGCATACTTGAGCATCATCTGCACCAAGACAGAAGCAGAACTTAGCACTGAAGATTATGTCCATTCAACTTTCTACAGCTTATTCAGCTTATGCCCGTTCAGCCAGCTGGTTCAGAAACAGAGGAGACTATTTGGGCATGATTGTGGAATAAACAATGCACATCAACTTGGACATTACCATGTCTAGCTATGTTGATGTGATAAAGAACAGTGCCATTAGACACAGTTCTAAGCAAAGAATTCTAGTTATATCTCAAGATCTCCTAAGAAGCAGTATAAAAGTTATAAATTGTTGCACTTGCAATCTTGCAATTTTATTTTTCATTTGGTAGTTCTGGAGAAACTGAGCTTTCACAGGGATCTTCGTCTCGTTTTTAGTGTCACGGACTCATTTTCCATGAAAATGTATTGATATTACATTTACTTCCGCGGTCATGTGTTCAATCAGCATTTGGAAATGGTCAAAGTTAACGACCACGATACAATAACGTTTGCAATAAATATCCGATGAGATCTTTTACAAGAAAGCCCAGCCTAATAGTCAAATACTCACACCAGAAGTATCAGTATTTGACAATACTGGACTGACCGACAATACTGCTTAAAATTCTTGTAATTTGATCATAAGCATATTGTTAACTAAACTTTCTGTGTCAGCAATTTAATTTAAATCAACTCACTTGCATCAGAAGAGGTTTGCATGACTTTTTATAGTGCGTGTAAACAATATAAGTACAAATAGCCCATTCTAGATTACCTGAATTGCAAAACAAGTTTCAAACAAAAGAAATATTTTGGGATAATATTATAAGTGAAATTAAATAAATGAGCTTTTTACATAATCTAATAACTGTTACTTTTAAACAATATTTTTTATCTCTTGTACCTGGTACGTATCAGAATTTAGTCCAAAATCGAAACAATCTGACAAAATGTAACAATTTTCTGCAGCATAAACTATTAGGACAAAACGTAAATACTTTGGGAAAAAAAGTTTAAAAAATCTGAAAATTGATTGGCATAAAAATTTAAACGCTCAATGATTATTTTAATTGAATACAGTTAGGATTTGAAAATGAGTGCTTAAGTTTAAATTTTGCTAGGAAAAGATTCAGTATTTTAGAAAATTTTGAAAAATTTATGAAAAATTTATCACGTCTCAATCAGTTCACATTAAGTTATTTTAACAGCACAACCATTAAAGTTACCCAAGTAATATTTCGGCATGAGCAAATATATCAGTTACCAGTGCATAATTGTCATCTGTTTATGTGCATTAAGAGGTAAAGATGCGGAAATTTATACATAAGAAAGTTAACGAGAAACAAACATTTTACTGAACATAGCATTTTAGAATACAAAAATGCAGCTCTAAGAAAACCTATATATTGCTACACCATCTTATAAAAACTGGAATATTCCTTCAGGAATACAAAATATAATAAAGGTACAATTTTCATAGCTGAAACAAAAGCACAAGAGACCGAACATCAGTCATTAAAAACAGCCCATAAAAAACTCTTTTACATTATTCAACAGACAGTTTAAGAATAATTTATTAAAATTAACTGTATTGATGAAAACGTAATATACAAATAACTTAAAATGGAAAAAGAGTAATAAAATTCAGAACAAAAGCAAAATAAAATAAATAAATAAAATAAAATACTGAAAATGCCTAAAAAAGTAATACAGATTTAAACTATAATAAAATATAATTGAAAAAAATGAATAAAAATATAAGACAACACAATGTATAATGAAAAATTAAAACGCTGAAAAGAGAAGCAATATATATACATATATACATATTGCAATATTTTATAAAAGTATTGAATACAGAATATAAATTAATACGATATATTTTAAATCAAGTTTAAAGAGAATAAATGTCACAAAATGAAAGAAAATTCAGAATTCTTTTGTAGTAATCAACAAACAGTATAAACATAATTTATTAAAATGTACATAATGTACAGATAATCTAAAATGAGAGAATTGTTAAAACTTCAAAAGCCATGCAGAATATATTACCTACAAAAAACACAGAAATTAAATACCCAATATATAACAAGAGAAGAATTAAACTATTATCTATAGTTAAACTATAAATGAAATAAATATATGAAACTACAAACTAAGAGGAACTAATCGTAATTAAAAAGCAGTTCTCTAAAATATGTTTAACACAAATGATACATAATAATCAATTTACTGAGAAGCATTTAGAACATAATATCTACAAATTTTAATTCTACAAAGCTAAATGTTCTCAAAAGAGTTTCTGAAATCAAAAACATTATGCGTTATAAAATTTCACTTCTTTGATCTTTCATTTGTATTCACAGCATATATATTGCATTACACAAAACACTCTGAGGAAAAGTATTTTGCAGCACAAAGAAAACTTTCATAATGCAGAATTTTTTCTCAATCTGTCAGGGAAAAAAAAAATAAAATTAATACACACTGAAAACATTTTGAGAAATGGAGGGGAAGGGAAGTGGGGGACTAAAAAGAAAAAACTTTCAATCTTCAATCTTAGCTTTCCTGAAAATCATCAATGTAGATATTCAGATAAAGGTATGTAAAATTTAACGATATTTGGGGACGAAGTATTATTTTGCAGTTCTTAAAAATTTCAAAATGCTGTTTCCCGAAGCCCCGGGTTGATGAATTTTCAAAACGAAAACATAAAATAGTAAATTAATAAATATATGCAGAAGCTTAGCTTCCAAGTATTTATTCATATCAAAGCTTTATTAATTTATGTTATACTTATTAGCTATGGTAACAAAACTATTTGTTTTCAGTCAAAATTTGTCATCACGTTTACAAGTTCAGGAAAGAATATATAAACTATGTATCAAAATTTATGGCACTAAAATTTGCCTAAATATTCATAGCTTCTCAATAACCACAAGTAAAATGCTTTTATCATAGCTGCCAATTTTGAAATATGAAAAGCCGGAAAATTTTCCTGTTGTGTGGTGATGCCATTTCAAATGAACTCCAAACTGACTTTGATTCGTTTTATAAGGTTACTGAACTATTTAAAATGTGATTCTGATGTAAAATATATTACTATTAATTAGATGTTCAATATTTTGTGCTCTTTGCTTCATCTCATTTTGTAATTTTCTTACACTTTTATTCAGAGAAATCTTCAGTAAAGAAGGAAAGCTTTTATTTATCAAGTATTTTCAAATGCAATTAAAATAAAAATTAACAATTAATTGTATGGAAACGTCTAGCAGTGCGACATCATGAAAAGTTCTACAAATGTCTACAGAAGATTAAGACAAATCAGATCATATAAAATACAATAAAAGGTCATGCTGAAGCTAAAAATCACTAAAGGTAAGCGAATGGAATCTGCATGATTTAAATTGCATTAATGCAATAAATTTTATTTTATTGCTGGGAAAAAGTTTTCTTGGTAGCTTTAGTTAAAAAAGTTTATTTTAGCACTTTTAGAAACTGGGCTAACATTAAAATTTTTAATTTGGTGACAAAAAATTAATCAAAATTAAAATTTTAAATTAATTTTTAAATTTAATTAAGTTTGTGGTCTATATAAACTGGGCTATTAAAAAAGGAGCTTTACCCAGTAAATGTTACCAAGTAACTTTTGGTAAATGATAAAATTAAAAGGTGGGTAATTTGATGATCTACCAGGAGTCCGGGAGATATGAGGAATTTAAATATATATATAAAAAATATATATTTGTTTACTAACAATGAAATTTCTGAATATTTACGTATAATTATCAAAAATCTTTATTTTATAGCTCTGGTTTCCATTTTATTCAATTAAACAATAAATATATACATAAAGATGTCCGTCCTCAATTTTTCGAGTTACTGCACATCTATTACAGCGTTGGAATCATTTTTATTTATTAATTAATTATATTATTATTTAATATAAGATGAGCAAGCTTTCCCTATGATATGCTCATGCTCATTTTTAATTTTGAATCTAATCAATTTAATTTCAATTAATCAATTTTAATTGATTGATTGAATCAGTTTCATTTCAATCAATCATTTTTAAATCAAGCTAAATCAATTTTAATTTTGAATATGACCATTCACCAACTATTAATTCAATATTATTTGCATTGCAATCATTCAGTTTAAGAATGAGGAATAAATGGATAAAAGTAACTGATGAATATCAAAATGGTTTTGAGTTTTTTAATTTATATTTTCTATAAATACCTTTATTAAGCTCCCATATCTCATTCTCATCATGTCCGCTGTAGACTTAATTCAAATAACAAGAAAGTACTGCTTAGGCAACAGAAATCCTGTCTAAACACTGTGTTTAGACAGGATTTCTGTTGCCTAAGCAGCACTTCAATATCATTTGCATTGCAATCATTCAGTTAAAGAATGAGAAATAAATGGATAAAAGTAACTGATGAATATCAAAATGGTTTTGAGTTTTTTAATTTATATTTTCTATAAATACATTTATTAAGCTCCCATATCTCATTCTCATCATGTCCGCTGTAGACTTAATTCAAATAACAAGAAAGTACTGCTTAGGCAACAGAAATCCTGTCTAAACACTGTGTTTAGACAGGATTTCTGTTGCCTAAGCAGCACTTCAATATCATTTGCATTGCAATCATTCAGTTAAAGAATGAGAAATAAATGGATAAAAGTAACTGATGAATATCAAAATGGTTTTGAGTTTTTTAATTTATATTTTCTATAAATACCTTTATTAAGCTCCCATATCTCATTCTCATGATGTCCGCTGTAGACTTAATTCAAATAGCAAGAAAGTACTGCTTAGGCAACAGAAATCCTGTCTAAACACTTTGTTTAGACAGGATTTCTGTTGCCTAAGCAGTACTTCAATATTATTTGCATTGCAATCATTCAGTTTAAAAATGAGAAATAAATGGATAAAAGTAACTGATGAATATCAAAATGGTTCTGAGTTTTTTAATTTATATTTTCTATAAATACCTTTATTAAGCTCCCATATCTCATTCTCATGATGTCCGCTGTAGACTTAATTCAAATAGCAAGAAAGTACTGCTTAGGCAACAGAAATCCTGTCTAAACACTTTGTTTAGACAGGATTTCTGTTGCCTAAGCAGTACTTCAATATTATTTGCATTGCAATCATTCAGTTTAAGAATGAGAAATAAATGGATAAAAGTAACTGATGAATATCAAAATGGTTTTGAGTTTTTTAATTTATATTTTCTATAAATACCTTTATTAAGCTCCCATATCTCATTCTCATCATGTCCGCTGTAGACTTAATTCAAATAACAAGAAAGTACTGCTTAGGCAACAGAAATCCTGTATAAACACTTAGACAGGATTTCTGTTGCCTAAGCAGCACTTCAATATTATTTGCATTGCAATCATTCAGTTTAAGAATGAGAAATAAATGGATAAAAGTAACTGATGAATATCAAAATGGTTTCGAGTTTTTTAATTTATATTTTCTATAAATACCTTTATTAAGCTCCCATATCTCATTCTCATCATGTCCGCTGTAGACTTAATTCAAATAACAAGAAAGTACTGCTTAGGCAACAGAAATCACAATTTGTTTAGACAGCACAACACTTTGTTTAGACAGGATTTCTGTTGCCTAAGCAGTACTTCAATATTATTTGCATTGCAATCATTCAGTTTAAGAATGAGAAATAAATGGATAACAGTAACTGATGAATATCAAAAAGGTTTTGAGTTTTTTAATTTATATTTTCTATAAATACCTTTATTAAGCTCCCATATCTCATTCTCATCATGTCCGCTGTAGACTTAATTCAAATAACAAGAAAGTATTGCTTAGGCAAGAGAAATCCTGTCTAAACACTTTGTTTAGACCGGATTTCTGTTGCCTAAGCAGTACTTCAATATTATTTGCATTGCAATCATTCAGTTTAAGAATGAGAAATAAATGGATAAAAGTAACTGATGAACATCAAAATGGTTTTGAGTTTTTTAATTTATATTTTCTATAAATACCTTTATTAAGCTCCCATATCTCATTCTCATCATGTCCGCTGTAGACTTAATTCAAATAACAAGAAAGTACTGCTTAGGCAACAGAATCCTGTCTAAACACTGTGTTTAGACAGGATTTCTGTTGGCCTAAGCAGCACTTCAATATCATTTGCATTGCAATCATTCAGTTAAAGAATGAGAAATAATGGATAAAAGTAACTGATGAATATCAAATGGTTTTTGAGTTTTTTTAATTTATATTTTCTATAAATACCTTTATTAAGCTCCCATATCTCATTCTCATGATGTCCGCTGTAGACTTAATTAAAATAGCAAGAAAGTACTGCTTAGGCAACAGAAATCCTGTCTAAACACTTTGTTTAGACAGGATTTCTGTTGCCTCTTCAGTACTTCAACATTATTTGCATTGCAATCATTCAGTTTAAGAATGAGAAATAAATGGATAAAAGTAACTGATGAATATCAAAATGGTTTTGAGTTTTTTAATTTATATTTTCTATAAATACCTTTATTAAGCTCCCATATCTCATTCTCATCATGTCCGCTGTAGACGTAATTCAAATAACAAGAAAGTACTGCTTAGGCAACAGAAATCCTGTCTAAACACTTCAAGTTAAATGAATATATTTCACATGGTTTTCAATATTTTACTCATTGCGGAGCTAGTAAATACCTCAAAGAGTAACTTAGTTTACAGTAGCTTTTTATATCTGCTAAAAATCACTTAGTAATAAGCACTGAAAAAAGATCATATCTGATGGACTCAATATTTTCACAACCTCTTCAGTTAAAAATTACCGAAAATCTTTTTATATAACTTATTGCAACATAATAAGCAGTCCATTAGTAGAACTTCTTGATCTATAGAAATCATATAAATAGTCAATTTTCTGTTTACAAAAACCTCTCATCCCTTCGCTAAAATTTTTGTTAAAAATTATTTATTTCATTTTGAGAAACTCTGTGTTATAAATGCCTGTCTAGTTTCAATATTTAAGACAAAACGGCCTCCAACTATCTGTTTCAAATTCTTTGTACAAGAAATCTAAAATCAGCTATTCCTTTTCAGTTATTCAAAACAGTCATTTAATAATGTACTTAAAAGCTTATAAATCCTGTAGATATAATTATGCCCTACTCTTTCAAAATGCAACTATATTTCAATTTGGAAATGGTCTATGTAAAGGGGTAAATAGCAATTTCAATATCTGTTAAAGTACAAATGTTACTCTTATTTACACTTGCATTTCGTATGTAAGGAATATTCCTATAAAATAATAAAAGTCTACCAATTGCTGAGAAGATGTGCAGCAGGGTAAGCCAGTAATTCCAAAAAGCTGAATAGTTTGTCCGTATGGGATTTATATATGGCTTCTGTGATCTGTAAAGAAAATAGAAATATATGTCTCATTTCTTCAGAAAGTTAGTATTTTAAGGCAGATAACTTTTAAATGCATAAAATTCAGGTACTATCAAATTATAATCATTGCTATTTAGAGATAGGATTAATTAATGTAGCTTAATTTAGTTTACAATCTTGATTACTATAATTTATTTTTCAAAATATAATTTGTTCACTTGTATTCACGTTTCACATAGAGAAATTCACAAATTCACTCAAGCAACTACCCTATTTACTGGGATACAAACTTAAGTCAAATTACTAGCGTTCCGAGATCTTAGCCACTTGGTGGGTATGCTGAAATTTTATATTAATAGAGACAGCAAGATGTCCTACACATTCCTCTTTTCAGTTTTTTAAATGGTAATATGCTTTAATATTTGAACACTTTCTATATATACCACTTACATTAAAGGGGTAGGGTTATTCAATTATGGCAAAGCACACGAGGGCTATCTGCCTAAAGGGAGGGATGCCTTCGTGGAGGACGTTTGGCTCGTATACACGTTACACATGGGGAAAAACACGAAAACGCCCATGCAGCCAGCCCGTTCGCGGGATTCGAACCTCGGACCGAACTACCAGTGTTCAACGTCTTTACCGCTCGGCCGCTTTTACATACATTAAAGAGGTCCACCAGCGGTAAAGCGGTTAAATCGTTGAACACTGGTAGTTCGGTCCGAGGTTCGAATCGTTCGAATTTTCGTGGTCTTCCCCATGTGTAACGTGTATACGAGCCAGTTTCTCTTAGAAAGTCCTCCACTAATGCATCCCTCCCCTTAGGCAGATAGCCCTAGTGTGCTTTGCCGTATTCACAATACACCAATACTTACATTAAAGAAACAAATGTAGAAATAAACTCAGTTTTAAACGTTTTAAAACTGAAATTTTAAACGAATTTTAATTTTATTCAAAAATAAAGTTTCATGAGTTTTCAACGATATATTTTTTTAAAGATAAGTGAAATATTTGTATTTTAAAATTTTGTTTTAAATTTTTCATACAGTTTTTAAACTTTGAAATTTTTATGGAAACTCATCTTTAAGGTGTTTAAGATTATAAGGTACAGTTTTTTTGCATTGAAAGTTCCCCCCTGCCTTCCTTCTTTAACATTTCTGCCTCCCAACCATTAGGCATATTTTATAATTTGAACTTACAGAATTTTATAGAATTATCTTTAAGCTTTAGGAGGATATTGAAACAATGTAAGTATCATTTTTATCCTTAAATTATTTACTGGCAGTTGCTCTTTCAAAATATCGCGCCAAATTATCACAAGAGCAAATAAATTTAAAATAGTGTTTTAAAACGCAATTTTGTTTTGTTTTTTGTTGTATTTGTTTATCGTTATTATAAGCTTTTTAAATGTTTTTGAGGGATTTTTTATGCACTGATTACCATTTTGAACTTATGCTTAGAGAGCGCATTTTAAAGTTCAGACAGTTTAACATCTCGTGACTTTTCAAAATAAAACTCAAACAATCAGAATTTACCAATATATCACAGGCCAGTACAGCATACTGCAGTATGGGAAGTACGATATTTTAAATTTCAACTGCTCGCTACACACGAAAGTATGTTTAAAATTCAATTTCGCTATTGAAAATATTTTAGATTTTTTTTACTATTATTAATCATGCATTATATGTTTGTTATTTCATTTTCTTCTAAAATTATCTATTCCTAAATATATAATTATTAATAATAATTTATAAGATTGATGACTACCTATGAAATGTCAAATGGCAGCCCTTCCCGGATGATACCCTGAAGAACAACAGCCCTTTTTAAATGGAACCTGTAGACCCTTCAATTAGCTATAATAGTGATAATTAGTGAATAAACATTGTTGGTAAAATGTTTAGTGTATAATCTTTTAATCCTGAAGTATAAAGAGGTAAAGTTAAAAAGGTGTTTAATGGCTTTAAATGCGTATTTTTATCTTGATGGCACAAAAAATTGCATAAAATATCTTCTCATAGTTGAAGATAAAATATTTTTGACAGGGAGGTTGTGGGCAGAGAAGGCTCATGTGAACAATAAGCATTACATTTCGTCAGCTTGAAATAAAAAGCTTGCAAAAATACCAATAGAAGGCAGTTTTAACATAATATCTTAGCCAAACTTTTACAACAATGAGCTGTTTTGATTTTCAACAGTAGTTTTGCTTTAAAAGAATTAGGTTTTTGAATTTAGGTTTTTAAATTTTTAAAGAGAAAAATTTTGATTTATGAATACCTGATTCATTTCCTTCTCTCTTTCGATTATGCATTTTATATTTTAAAAATTATTTTGAAGTAGTACACAATAATGGATTATATAAGACTTTAAGAAGAATTATCCTAGAAGTATTAAAGGTAAATTCACTCAAATCATTATCATATGACTCATCCTAATTCAAAATAATCCCATTCTTTAGGACTGATCAACTATTATAATTCCTACTACATTTCTCAGCGAAATTACAAATATAAAAAAAGCACTGATTTCTTCTTGATACAATATATTTTTAACAATATATTATTCTGACATAAAATGCCTAAATCTGACTTATTAATTATAAATTTTAGTATTAATCAGTGTCTTTAATTACAGTTCTCAAAATAATTCATACTATCCAACAAATGTTACATCTCAAATATTAAAAACAGTGATAGAGAAATCAGATCTTTAAACTGAAAATATTTTTTTAATAACAGAAAGTAAATGTCATAAAAATTTTAGAAGGGTTAAATTAACTGATATATTCAATATATTTACAAACGTTCTAAATTGCTGAATATATATATTAAAAAAACAGGTATCAATATTACAATGGAATAACTCATAGCCTACAAGTTTGCACTTATAACTAAATTAAAAACTGAAGTACATATATGCGTACAAGCTTATTATTCATAACACTTATGACATTATTTGGTTAATATGAATTAAATGTTTTATAAAACTACTGAAGCATTAGATGTTTTAAAAAATCATATTCTTTAAAATACCTATCAAAATGCATCTCAAGATACTGTCATTTTTCAAATATTAGCTCAGACACTAATATGTTCATATACGTGAACCTATAGAAAGAAGAGAACAAGTCTGGTTAGTAAAATCCTTCAACCAATGAGTTGAAGTCAATTGAAATAGCCATCTTCAGTTTCACTACTGTCAGTAGTAAATCTAAAAGTATTAGCTTTTCGTTAATAGGATTCTTTTTATATTATAATAGAGTTAAAATTTCTTAATTCCGATTATGCCCTACAAATTCAACAATATTTAAAATAAATGTACACATTGAACACTATATACATATATATAATAAAAACAGAAAAAGGAAAAATTGTGAAAGAAAGAAAAGAAGAAAATGAAAGAAAATAAATAAGAAGAAAGGAAAATAAATTAGTAATTAAATCGAATAGTAATTAAATCGATAGTAATTAAATCGATAGTAATATCGATAGTAATTAAATCGAAATGGTCAATTTATTTTCATTTTCTTATATACATAAACATATTTTTAAATGTAATCCTTTTTTATGTTTGTAATATATTTTGCAACGCCAAATGGTGTCAAGGTTGCAATAATGTTTTAGTAGTTCAGAATGTAACATCAAAAAACGCAAGAACCAAGACATCAAATAAAAATGTGTTACCAAAGTTCTTTCCGAGAGTATTTCTTTTTTTTTTTTTTTTTTATTAAATAAGAAAGTATGTAACTATTATTTTTGGAATGCCACCAACTTCAGCTAAAGATTATTTAAGGTTTAACAGTGAAATATTTAATGCTTTAAAAAATATCTCGCGCTTAGAGATTCTTCCAAAATTAAGTGTGAATGACTATAATGAGATTTCGGATATATGTTGAAAAGAAATAATGTAGATGGCACTGCTTGGCAGTAGAGTACATGTAGTGTGGAAACGAAAAGGGGAACATCGTATCGGCTGATTGGGCAGTATTGATTTCCAGAAGGTTGGTTTACCTTATAATAGGACATCTGTAAATATGTATATATAAAAGAGATAACAAAAGATAAAGAGCCACGTAATGCTTTGTGTTCCTGTATGGGACGTAATTGCTTTTAACGTTATTTTTATAACATATTAATATGGATATAGTATAAGAATGTCTGGAATATACTCAGCATTTTCGCCGCAGTTTAATTCTATTTAATACATGTGATATTGAAATTACTTATTTAATAAATACTATTATATAATTAAAACTGTGAGTACCGAGTCAAAATAAAATGGAACAACGAAGAAATAGCAGCAATCAAGTATTAAATGAAAGCATTCTGGGATTGTAAAATAATCAGAAAAGAAGTAAGATTCTAAATTTAACAAATAATCTCCAGTCAGAAATATGATTTCAAATTAAAATTTATAGTTACGGTTCCTCGCCCTTAGTCACCAGTTGTTCTTTCCATTTTTCGGTTTTGTTTTCATATTCGTAGTTTAAGCATAGTAATGACTTCATCCGTTTCGAAGAAAGGGAACCAAACAGCTGTTTTGCATAGAAAATACAGCGCTTCTTTCCTACGCTCCTTACTGTAAGACCTTTCTGTCGGACAGCATGCGTGCAGACTAGGGAAAAAAATCATAGTTAGATATTTCAGTGTTATAACACAGGTACAAAAGTTCTAATTTTATAATGACGGAATACAAAAAATAGGCTAAAATAATTAAAACTAAATTGCTTTGAGGTAATACTTGCCATCTTCTTGTTTGCTAGATTAAATGCTTTGAGATTTGAGACGTTCAGACGTTTCATAAAAGATGAGATTATTAAAGTCCCAAGTTTTGTAAATAACATTTAATGTACTTGTATCTCATAAAATGCCTTTCTACTGCATTTTTTCCATTTGTTCACAAGTAATTCTTATTTCTGTGTAAAACGTTTTACTTTGGTAAAGCAGTAACAATATTTATTTAAAAAAATTTCTAACTGTAGAAACCTGTTACTCTTAAAAATTTTAATATAAACAACAATATTAAAATCGAAAAAAATTCAGCAATGAAATCAGTTTCGAACGTATTGGTTCCAAATCTAAAGTTTTCGTTATTTCGAGTGGAAACTAAATGAATCTTTTTATCTAGGAGCAAATTATGCTACCTGTAATTTGCTTTCGTAAAAAGGAATTTCTTTCAGAGGATCAGAATTTCTTCTGAAGTGAACACCGAGAAAAATTCTCAGTTCTGCCAGGCATTTAAAATAGCATTCCCCATTTCATTTAAATTCCTGTTACTTCGACCGTTCTGTGTAGAAAATATAGCCGAGAATTTTTTTTACAGATTTATTTTTACTTTTATACATGTATATTTTTACAAATTATTTTTGAATATATAAGTTTTGTTTCCTTGCGAATAAATTCTGATACAGTTTTAAAAATTTATGTAAACCTTATAAGAGTTTACAAAAGCAATTAATTTTTTATAAATTTACCACCAATAAATCATACATTTCAGATACTTATGTCATTAACGCGGAATCTTCAAGGGCCCACCAGCGGCCGAGCGGTAAAGACGCTGAACACTGGTAGTTCGGTCCGAGGTTCGAATCCCGCGAACGGGCTGGCTGCATGGGCGTTTTCGTGGTTTTCCCCATGTGTAACGTGTATACGAGCCAGTTTCCCTTAGAAAGTCCTCCACGAAAGGCATCCCTCCCCTTAGGCAGATATGCCTAGTGCGCTTTGCCATAGTTAAATACACACACACACACACACGGAATCTTCAACTTCAAAACATTAATTTTATGAACAAATAAAGTATTACAAAATTATTAATCAAGTTGCATTATACAAGGGTTGCATTTTAAGGCAAAATCAACCAAAAGTATTTGCTAGCATAAATTAAGGCGCAGTTACACAATTAATAACTTCATTAAAACGACAATAAATTTGTTTCTAAAATTCTTTATATTTGCAAAAGAGAAATAAAGTTAAGTAGCGTTTAAGTGAAATTAAACTTGTTAATCTATTCCTTAATTCCGTTTTCTTATGATTAATAATAACATTCGGTTCATTCTAATCTCTAAACATATATGTAGGATAAAAAATATATAAATCAGCTTTATAACTTAATTCAGTAATAGTCTCTTAATTCCTCATTTGAGTATTTCGTCTCTCTATTCTAAAAATAATAACAACATTTCTGTGCCATTTCTAGATTAATTTGTGCCACAGAGCTTGCGTAACGCTGATGACGTAGTTGATTCGGAACCTAAGCTCTTACAACTGAAACCTCTCTAACCTAAACCAAAACATTTCTCTTAACAGACTGCCATATTGTATAATTGCGCAACTTCTGTGCTGCTTGGATCCTATTTCGCTATGCTCTCTTCCTATCGCAATAATATCAAAAATGTAAATGTTCTGGAAATAGGTACAATTAGAGTGAAAAGTAAATTGTGCCCACAAGTGTCAATTGAAATATAAATGAATATTTAATGTTATTCGGTTGCTAAGTTTCCTAATCACTACGGATTTAAGTATATTACGCATGAATACGGATTACTACGGATTCTAGAATGTTACGCAATCAGAATATTTCCTCTTTAGTATGCCATCTACGTGTATCGCCATCAGCATTTCAACGTTTTCTCGGTGTTCCTTTGTCAGTACTTCTAAATTTGTTTTCATTACATACATGTACTAAAAACGCATTAGTATTTAAGGATCAGAATGCAACACTAAAATACATTTATTATTCAATCAGATAGTTTTCCTCAGGTTCGTCATCATTAATGGAATTTTTTAAGGAAAAGAAATTTAAAAAAAAAAAAAAAAATCTTTATTTTTAAAATTGTTTGATGTTGCGATATTTTCAGCGTTAATATGCAATGTACGTTTCTTTAAAATAATAATAATAACAATATATTATCCAATTTGCCAGGAAACCTTGTTTGCAAATTGCAGAATTTTTAATATTCTCGGGAAGAGAAGTTAAATATTCAAGTCTAGGCTTACAACTATAAAAATCTATTAGATTCTTCTAAGGTCTTGTTGAACTGAATGCTAAGTGACAAATGCTGCATTTCAATTCACTGGTTCAGATTTCAGCAAAGAAAAATATCTGTACAAGATGGAAATATGAAGCGGAGCAATAGTAAACTATAGCAAACTTTCCTGACTTATCTTGTAAGGGTCCTAAGTTTTACCAACGTTTATTTTATTTTAAAACTGTACTATCGCTTCTTATTTTCTACTTCCGGCCAGAATTAAATGCTTTATATAAGGTATTTTCTCCCACTTTCCTAGCGCCCCTCGTGGTGTAGTGGTTCTGCCAGTACCTCCTACATACAAAGCCATGGCACGGCTGACACTACGTCACTAAAGTCGCCCTTATCTACAGACAGAATGGTTGCCACATGAAGCCACTTATCGCTGTTATTCCCTTAAGACGAGAGAAAATGAAATAGTCACCCCCTTGCAGAAAGCTTATATCATTCGGTTTTAAATAAATAAATATGTATATCCGATTTGCCATTCATCGACTGCATTTCCTAATTTCAAATACGTAGCTTAACTTTTCTTAAATAATTTTACACTTAAATTAATAGAACATAAATTGACTTAACATACTTCAGATGGTGCAATAAAATACATGTTTAAGATCTGGCTGTTGCTGGTTTGTTTTTTGAATATATATTTTACTAAATATCCTCTTCCTTATTGTTAAACTAATATTGTACTAAATATTGTTATCCCCTTGCAACAATATTGATGCATAATAACAAAGGCAACAATAATGCATAATGTTGATTAAAACTAAAAATCCCTAATCCTAAATTTATTAATCATGTTTTATTTTTGCAATATCAGTTTTTAACAACATTTGCTATTTACACATATTTGTTTAGTAATTTTCCGGTTTTGATCTTGTTCACTTCACTGTTGGATTGAATTTCGTAACATATAATAAACCTGGAGTATGATTTGAATACTATTTTTGAGCAATATGAAAAATACTATTTTTGAGCATATATTGTATTATTCAGTGTTAATTTTCAATATAGGCGCCAAAAATTCCATACATTTAAGCTTTTTCAATTAGATTCCTATTTTTGAAGAATTTGTAATTGCATCTTTCTCAATAACAAAATCCAAAATTCTCAAGTTTCATTCTTATTATTTTATGTCTGTAACATCCCTTTCGTTTAATATGTACATATATAATTTTCTTGTAACTAGTAAATTTTTGTTCCTAAAAATCATTTAATTGTAACTTATCTAAGAAATTTTTAGCAAATGATAAATATGAAGTTGTATAATTGATATGCAGTTACTGGAATTTTTTTATCAGGATAATCATAGCAGAAACTTTTAAAACATCTAAATAGATCAAATGCCCTGAATTAAGGAATAAGGAGTTTAGTGTTAAGGTAAGATTTAAAATTTTCAGAATAATTTCAGATTTTTATTAAGAAAGTAGCACAACTAGCGTGCAAAACGCATTAAAAAAGATTTATTTTTTTACCTGAAATTTTTCTACCAGTACAATTATAACTAGAAATAATAGGAAATGACACCATGTATTATAGTGAGAAAAAGGGGAGTAAATGTTTATTTAGGCAACTTCATGCTACTTACTTTTTATTACAGTAAATCCCTTTGAGAAAAAATAACTTAGTACAAATGTATGAGACCTTACAGCTGGGAAGAAATGAAAGTACATTTTTATTCTAATTTATTTTTTATAGAGTTATCAGATGCATTTCTCCCTGTATACGTACAACTATATTTCTAGAAATTTTATTTCTTTGACAGAATTAAACATAGAATAAGATGAAAATAATATATTAGTAAATATCTATAAAAATTAGTCATCTGGAATTGTATTTGACTACAAATTGTCCTTCTTACAGTTTAAAATTAATGTAACAAACACGTCGGTTTCAATTAAAATAAGATTAGAAAATTTCAAGATATTGATTTTAAAATATAAACGAAAGTAATATTAATTGACAAAAGTATTTTATATTCAAAAATGAATATTTCTTTAGTTTATGATGAAAAAGCTTAGTATATTATATAACAGACCTTAGAGCTTTAGCACTTTTCTATGATAATTGCAAATATTTCCCTTTTTTTGTGTGTATGCGTGCATGCATTTTGGAATAGGTGGCAAAGACTTCACAACACAAATAGAAAAAGCACTTTTTTATTCAACATATTATACACATTCTGCAGAAAATATTCATTTAAAAAATGAATTACAAGTCTGAAAATATTAAGATAAAATAGGTTAGTTTCACTCTCTTATTTTGTACCTTAAACACATAACATATTTCATTTCTGCTACATACATAAACTGTTTTTTTTTAATGTTTTCAATTTCCGTTGCTTAGTTAAATTATTGCTTAAAAGATTATCATTTAACTTTTTGCAGTAATTATTTAGAAAAATATTTGTTGATGATTGTATGATATTTTTTAAAATAATCTGAGGGTTATGAAGACAAAGTGGAAAGACGACTTGCGTGACGTCAGAGCTTTCAAGCAACCCTAGAGCCTTGGCTTTGTATGTAGG